GTAGCCCATGGCAACCCACTGCAGCAGGGGCTGCAGCCTACGCCATTGCCGGCGACTCACGGCAGCCCAGCTCCAGGTTGAGCTGTTTTTCAGCCTCTTAGCTGTAGAGGGCAGTGTCACTGGCCCTCATATATGGGATCTGAACCGGGGCCCTCTGGCGTCCCAAGCCAGCTCTTAACCATCACGCCACTTGGCCGGCCCTGTTTCTGAATTCTTAAATTCTATTTCATTGGTCTGTTTGTCCGTCCTTATGTCAGTACAACACTGTTTAGATTACTGTTTCTTTTTAGTTAGTTTTGAAATTGGGAAGCGTGAGACTTCTACTTTGGTTTTTCTTTTGCAATATTAGGGCCCTTTAGAATTTGCTATCAATTTGAGGATAGACATTTCCATTTCTGCAAAAAATGCCATTGGAATTTTGATAGGGATTGCATTGAATTTGTAGATCACTTTATAAGTATTGCCATCTTAATGATATTCAGTATTGAAATGAATGAGCACAGGATGTCTTTTCATTTATTCAAGTCTTCTTTCATTTTTTTCAGCAATTTTAGTTTCGTAGATTCCATGTAAAGTATTTTGCCTCCTTGATTGATTGATTTGTAGGTATTTTATTCTTTTGGATGCTATTGTAAATGGGATAGTTTTCTTCATTTTTGGATTGTTCATTGCTAGTACTGTATAGAAATATAACCAGTTTTTGTGTATTAATCTTTAACCCTGCAACTTTTCTGAATTTGTGTATTAGCTTTAGAGTTTTTTCTTTAAATTCTTTGGGATTTTCTATAAATAGAATCATATCATCTGCAAATAGAGTTATACTTCTTTATTACCAATTTAAATGCCTTTTATTTTTCTTGCTTAGTTGCTCTGGTTGGAATTTCCAGTACAATGTTGAATAACAGTGGTGAAAACAAGCATCATTGTCTTTTTCCTGATCTTAAGGATATAGTTTTAAGTCTTCCACCATTGAGTATGATGTTAACTGTGGGTTTTCCATAAACTCCCTTTATCATGTTAAGTAAGTTTCCTTCTATTTCTAATTTGTTCAGTGTTTTTATATTGAAAGTATGTTGGATTTTATCATATGCTTTTTCTGCATATTAATCTACAACAATCTCAGATGAATACCAAATTAATTTCAGTAGTATAAAAAACTTGGTTCCTACATAGTTTTTTTATTCCTCCCTCTTTCATTTTGCTCATTCTATATTATGCTTGTGTGTGTGTGTGTGTGTGTGTGTGTGTGTGTGTGTGTGTGTGTGTGTGTGT